AGGCTGCAGGGTGGGCTTTGCTGTAAAGGCCACGGCATGAGCTGTGCACAGTGGGTTTGGTTTTTAAAATGCCATGATCCTGGATTACAACTGTGCTGAAATCCCATCCAGCTTAAAACGTTTGTTTGACTCATTTTGCGGAGTCAGGGTCTGTTTGAATTGGGACATACTCAATACTATTCTCATCTTAATTTTTCATGAAAAAACAAATGGTTTCCTAGTACCCAAATATGACTTTAGCAGAGATATCAATGATTGCCATCTAAAATTTAAAAACTGGGAGGGCTTTTTTTTTTTTTTTTTAACTTTGTTTATTGGTGTGTCTATCTGAAATGTAGCTAAAAAGAGATCCTGGTCAAACCATCTCAGTGACTTTGCTGAAAAAGACACAGGAATTTGTTGTCCTCCTGGGATATCTGTTTTATACTGTTCTCATTTGAAGTTAAGGCTGTGAGGAAAGATTGATTCAAAAATTAATTTTAATTTCCGTATTACAAAAATAGAGCGATCTCACAGACATTTAAAATTATCTTTTCTCACAGATAGTAGTAACTTCTCTGCTTTTGCATTGACATTTGATGAGTGGTGTTATAATGGCTGATCGTAGCAATTTTGTTCATTCTTTGGCTCTAAATGTCTTTTGTCAGATTTAAGCCTTTCCTTAGCTGTACAGGTGTAAGTGGGTGTTACTGAGTGCAAGTGGGTACTTGTTTAATTCAGCCCTTTCCTAATGGTTAATCCTAACATTGATGTCGGGTCCATTCAACATCTTAGTGTAAAAAACTGATAGATGGTGGAAACACTTCTATTGTAAGAAATGTATGTGACAAAATACCCTGGTTTGCCGAGGGCAAATTAAGGCTGACGTAGCTGCTCTTGGCAGTGTTATCTTAATTACAGTTGTCAGATAACTTTTTGGCTAACAGCACAGGATTTGTGTGCTTCTAAGTAGACTTGGTATTCATTCAACTTAAAAAGCTGAAATGGCTTTTTGTCCATGGAAGGTGTGTCTGTACCTCATTGTTGTTTCATGGATCCGCTATAGATGATGAAAATTAGATGATAGCATCTGTAAAATATGTAGAGACCCTTGAAGATACTCACTATCCTTAAGCCAGAATTCCATCACAATCTTGGCAGGTCTGTAGAAAAAAAGTTTTTCCTCTCCATTCAGCAGTAAAAATTCCAAGTTTCTTTTTCTGATACCAAAGTAAGACTGTTACAACTACAAACGAGTTTTCTAATGTGTCATTAGTTTACCTGTTAGTAAGAATCTTTCAAGGTAAAAGACTAGAACTTCAGAAAAGTGCATCATACGGATCTTCTACTTATTAGATGAAATAGTTCCTAATAATTATGACCATTGCCTGTATTCATCAGAGGGAGACTTAGATCCTGCTGTATTTGTAGTCATGTGTCAGGAATGACAGCACCAAGATTTAAGAAAGGAAGAGGCTTTTTTTTTTTCAGTCCCCGAACTGGACAAGGAAACTGTTCATACCTTGTCAGTGGATTTTCTGCAAAAAGGAGTTAACCTCTTTTTCCTAATTGTTGTAGACAAGGCCTTAAAAGACCTGGTTCCTCAGAGGGCTGCACATTTGACACGGTCGTGTGCGATACTAACAGAGCTTGCCTTGTTGGTATTTAAAGGGATCTTGTTAGGAAGTGAATAAATGGAGAGAATAAGCACCAAGAACTTCGTCAGTATTCAAGGAATATTATGAGTGCTACAGTAAAAGTAGCTAATGTTTCCAAGTGAAAACAGATTTGAGTCTTCACAGATGATTTTCTATGGTGACAGTACCAATAGAATATAACTGGATTTAGTTCTTAGAAAATATTCAAATAAATATTGGAGGAAACTCATTCTACAGTTTAAGTTATTAAATTATTATAAGAATGTATTCTAATACTTTACACAAACTGCAATATGAAAAATAACAGTAGTGTCCCAAATGTTGGGGTTTTTTCACAAAAATTCCTGGCCTACCAGTACACATGCTTGTTGACATCTGTATGCCATTTTCATTTGACTACATTATTAAATCTTTTGATTTTGAAGCCCGTTTGAGAAGAATGCCATTAAAAGGCTTCATGTTTATTTCTCTGCTGTATTTACTGCTTTTAAAAGTAGAAATGTCTGTCTTTATCTCTCAGTCTGTCCCTTTCTCTCCTGCCTTTTTTCCTTTTGTATTGTAGCAGCTGCCCCTTGTGCAGTCAGCCGTGGCAGGGACCAACTTACACACACCTTGTTCTGCCCCTTACCACGTCCTGGCGTGATGTGACTGTCGTCCTCCTTTTCTGCCACTCAGCAAAGGCTTCCTCTCCTCTGCTGGTCCTGTAACCCATGCCAAGATTCCCTGGTCATGGGTAGCATAAGCACCTCTGTATTGTTACTGTTTCTGTCTTTTCATCTCTGAAAGAGGTCAGTCGGCCTGTCATATCTTAAATGTCCTCTGGAGGGTAGCTATAGCTGAATGCAAGAGGGCAGATGTTGATGGCTGCCACAGCCATTTGCGTGAGCTCTAGGCAGTTGCAGTTGTGACTGCTGGCTGGTGAAAAGAGAGTCTAAATGTCTACAACACATTTTCCTTCCCTTAATTTTTGTCAACGTAGGGTAATTCTCATTGAGGATATGTTCCCTAAAACCGGGTAGCTGAAGTGTTTCAGAGTTACTGGGCTGAATATGTTTTATTCTTCTTTTCGAAGAAAAGAAACATGGTCTTAACCAAGCGTAGAGCCTCACAAATTTGGCCAACTACTGTTTCAGCTGTAGCTCCCAGTGCTTTCTCCTTACCTTGCATCAATTGTTCATGTCTTTGCTGTTCCAGCTCTCAGAGTTCAGCTTGTGTCCCTTCATCATCCTCCTGGATGCTGGCAGAAGGCTACTGCCCAGTATACTGCTGTGGTAGCAGGTGCTGTCCCAGATGTGATGCTCTTGTGACCACCACAAGAATGGAAGAAGTGGAGCTGCTGTTAACCAAATAAGGGTGTACAGCTGGCTTTAATACAGACAAGTACAAAGAGCATTTACAGTGAAAATCACTGCAGGCTGGTTTTCCCTTTTTTTGTTTCAGATACCAGTTTTTGCAGACCTACAGCCTGACTCATTCCCTCCTATAAGGCTTCTCACTATGTGGGTTTCCCACAGCTGCAAGAGCTGCTGTAGTTTAATTCCGCGTTGAAATGCGCTGTACAGAGGCAGCAACATTTGAAAGCTGAGATCTGAATCACTTAATTTGCTAAATAGCCATTCATTAAAATGCTCTGCAGCAGTGAGCAGTGTTAAACTGTGCTGTTACATCGCACTGCTCAGGACTCAGTTTTACTGGACGTAGGGATTTTTGCTTGTTCTCCCAGGCTGTTATTAGTCTGATTTCTTTTATCTCAAATGAGGCAAGGTAGGGGATTTCGTATGTCCTTTGAGCTAGAAGGTATCTATGTAGTTTTGTATATATGTGTGTGTATACGGGTATAAATATATGTACATGCACTGCACAAAAATGTATTCATCCACAGTAACAGGTGGTGCTGGCAACACCTGTTGCTGGGGTCACTCAACACTCCAGTATTAAACCCCTAATTTTAGTTGCTTATAACTTTTGTCAAACTTAAACATTTGGGTTGAAATGTTATGTGCCAGGTGTCTGCCTTAGGCTGATTTGGGGGAGAGGGGGTGGGGAGAGGAATTTATCAGCAAAATTGTTACTGCCAGTTCAGGGACCAGAGGCCAGGGCACTGGTTTGCCTGTGCTGAAAAATGAACTCTTGCTGGTTGAGATGTTCCAGCAGCTTTCCTTGTCCGAAGCCAAAAGTTGCCAGTGGAGACCCCCTGCAGCTGGGTATGTCTTTTGCTAGCATTGTGGAAATTCGCTGTTTTACTAAGAGTGTGCCTCTGTCTGGGTAAATTATAGGTCTGTGAAGATGCTTGGTAGAAGTTTGTGGACAGCTGCCCACCAGGCTGCCTCCATCATGTCCGTTTCCAAACGGCCGTGCTGCAGGCGACCCTTGGGATGCAAGATGCCCATGAAGCAGCAGAGTAAGCCTTGGAGTCTGAGCGTGGAGCAAAGCAGGCTGCTGCACGCAGGGGCACCATTCCTCGGAGCAAATGCAAGCAGCTCGTCTTGTGCTTACACAATGTGAATAAATAGGAGGGAATGGCTGGCTGGTATCCAGAGGAACTGGTGATGAAGGAAGGGAGCAATGAGCTGAGAGAGTGGTAAGAGTGAAAGACAGAGTTTTAAGAACTGAGGTGAAAAGCTGAGGAGACAGACTCATATGATAGGGCAGATAGACTGAGAAGGGACAGACATGCACAGTTCCTGCCAGGCCACGACCACAGGATTTCTGCAGTCCCTGCCTAACCAGCTGAAATGTTCCACTGATAATATATCACGGCTGGTCAAATAGGTGATTTACACAGGAATACAATGTATACTGCTGCCAGTGGCTCCCCTATTTGAGTGTATAGACTTGAAAACACTTAGGAGTTTGCATGGTTTCATCTGATGCTGTTTCAGGAGGCAGGGTTGTTCAAGTTACTTCTGCTTAATAGAAGCATCAACATTTTCATTCTTACATCTCTTTTTTTAGTATTTCTTAGCGTTTGCATACTCAACCTGCACTTGAAGGGTTGTTATGTGTGCATGCAAATCCCTTTGTAAATACTGCAGTTGTTTCTTACTGTATAATCTTGCTTTGCAATCTGTACTTTGTTTGTAGCTCACAGTATGCAAAATCCCACTAGTAAGTCAGTCATAGATATCAGAGTGGTCTGTGATTTCACCTGGGTTGCAAGAACGTTTGAACAGACTGCTTGTGTTATTTTTAAATCTCGTCCTTTCTTGATCGTTGTGGGAATTAGAAACAAAATGCCTGCTGCAAAATATTCTGTTTCGTATTACTTAGCGTTTTGCCATAAAAATCTGAATTGCCACAGAACCTGATCAAAGTTTAAAGTCAGTTTGTTATTGAATGATGATGATTTTTTTTTTGTTATAGGTAAAGCCTCAGCCAAGAAACTGACAAAAAAGGTAAGCAAAATATTCCTTTACTTCTTTAAAAGAACTTAGATTCTTTCTGTAACCCAACCAAAAAGACTTCTCTTTCAAAACTGCCTTTATATTTTCTTGTTTATGTCTTTAAAGGAGGTAGATGCTGCACTGCTATGTGTTGCCAAAGCTAAACCAGGACCAACTTTTTTTAGAGAGCTTGGTGATAAAGGTAATGAAGCACTTTTGATAATGAAAAATAGATCTTACTTTTTGTCTCATTATATGGTATAAATTGAATGTATTTTTAGAGGAGGTTTCATAGATTTGACTTCATCCCCATCTAGCCAGTAACTGCCTCCGTGGCAAATCTGTCTCAGTTATGCAAGAGAGAGTCAAGAGGCAGGTCTGGGAATTTAAAGCCTTGTGAGGTGCAGGAGGAAGCATGAAAGAAATCGTAAAGCCTACTTGGAGCAGAGAAAGGGACTAAAGGGGTGACTTTGGCACAAAATGGACTTTTAAGACTTGCTGTTAATAAACTGCTGTTTCTCTGTATAACTTAAATGCACAGAAACTAAGAATAAAAATAGAATTTGTATCTAGTTATATAAAGTGGCATCCCTGATTCCAAGAGCAGTTGAACTTCTCCCTCTTTAGGAGTTTGGTGGCCCTTCAGAGCACCAATGTCCTTTGTGTTTTTTTCACCCAGCATTTCCACCTTATATCGAGCCACATGAAGAAAAAACTCTTGAGAGCTGGGATATTGTCTGTATAACAACAAGGAGTTAAAGAACACCAAATAAACACATCATTAGCATAAATTAATTGAAGGGAGAAAACAAACAAGAGGATCAAGGAGACCAAATAGTCGAGTAATTAACCATTTCACCAGTAACAAAGACTGAAATTCCCAAACTAATGAGAAGGACCAACAGCATCTATTCACAAACTTTCTGTATTGTAGAGTTCAGCCTGAATCCTGTATTCCGTGGATGTTTCTGGAAAATTAAAGCTGCCTTTGCATCGCTGCAGTTCCTTGGCAGGCATGAGCCACACTCTCTCTATGCACAACAGATCCCTGGGCATGGCTGGCAGCTCATGCCAAGAGAGCAGCCCTTGATCTCAGCCCGCAGCATTTCGCCTGCCCTTTGGCCTCATGGCCTCTTCTGCCTGCTGTTCATTTCTGGCATCCTTGTGCAGACATGGCAGGGTCTTCAGCTGGGTGCCTTGCTTGTCAGTCCACTCCTGCAAGCCCCAGTATACCCTAGCAGCCCTGAAACATCTCTGAGCAAGTCGAACAAATTTTTCCTATCTTAGGGAAGGCTGGACTTTGTATTGAATAGTCATTCCTTGCATTTTCAAATTACTAGTCATCAATTCCCAGGATTGGGTTTAAAGGATTCCCAGTCTTTAATTCTTGGATGTTCTTTCTCTACCGCTGCTTTTTTAGAGCCTTTCTTTTTCTAGCGGTTGACCAGTGGTTGACACTGCAAGTCCTCGAAGCGCGCACTGCCTGGGAGAACCAGGAATCCACCAACAGAAAGTGGAAACATAGCAAATCAGTGCAGCCTCCTTTTATTTCACCTCTCCCAGCTGAATGCTTGGCAGAAAGTGGGCTAGATTATATGCTCAGCCCGGCATCTTTTGCATTCTGGACACGGCATTGATCTCCCCTTGCTTAGGACTGTGAGTCTGTATGCTCTGTCCTTCAGAGGTCAGGTAGGAGTTTGAGATGGTGCAGGAACATTCAGTGCCATCATCCATGTGTCTCCACAACATGTGGAGTTTTTACAGGTTTTGATCGTGATGCCTCTTCAGTGACTTTAATGCTTTCACTTTGAGATGCATTATTATTACATTTTTAAAATGTAAATATTTATGTATTAAATAGTGCTCTTACAAGTACCAGAATAATGAATGCACATATCTGTTCCACTGTTTAGCTGAGATTATTTTAACTACCTTCAAATTGTTATTTAAATATCAAGTAGAGGGAAAACTGTCATCAGTCCAGTTTGTAAAGTGTAACGCTAGGGAATTCTGCCTTCTAGTGGGCAGTTTTAGAATTCATGTTGTATTTTGTGGGTATACTTATGATTAATTCAGCAATAAGACTATTGTACAGTCAGCATTTGCTATAAAGTTTCAGGGATTTGAGAGATTTCCAGGGAGGGATAGGGAAGGTTCATTTAGCATTAGAAAATGACAGTATTTTGCCAATGCTAACTGCAAATACTTGGCTGCAAGCATGCTGAATCATTCAACAGTGTGTGAAGCTTTTATCTTTTAAATTTTGCTTGGATATGAATATAATTTTTTCTATGTTTATTTTTAGTTTGTTGCATTCCATCTTTGAGTAACTTCATAGTGATTACTGTAGAATAAAAAGAAAATTGCCAAAATATTTAATTTACTTTATGGATAAGGTAAATTGGCCATTCACTACAGGTAGTAAAAGGACAATAAAATTAAAATAATTGTTATGGAAATGAGTCCACAAGTTAAAAAAATCTTATCTTGAGTTATTTTAGTGTGATCAGTCTGCTAGAAAATGTTAGACAGACTGTGGATTTGCTTTAAGGCACTGAGAGGTTTTAAAGAACAATCAGATTTTTTTTACACATTTTTATTATTTTTACCTATTTCACTATAGCAACTTTTCAATCAGCTTACGGTAAGATGATGAAAGTGAAGACTGTGTCTCGCCCCTGACATTTCTTGCAAGGCTCTTCTTTGCAGCCCTGTGTAATTCAAATGAATAGAGCCATCATGCTTCTCCCTTGAGCCGATAAGCAGGGTGTTGTCTTCAAATTGGTCTTTTCTTTGTATCTTACCATCTCCATATAAATTTTGAAGATTCTTTCTGCAAAATTTTATAAGGTACAATGTTCCCTGTCTACCCATATAGCTAAAACTCTCCAGGCACTCGGCATTTTGTATCTCAATTATTACAACTATTTTTTTTCCTCTGACTTTAACAAACATAATCTGCCACGTTAATATCCTTTCAAATGCTTTCATAAATATGTTTTTCTTACATGACTGCTTTGAGTGTGTCATGTCTTCTTTTGTATCCCAACACTGGACTCTCCTTGTTCTGTATTATCTAGCATGAGCTGCTTGCCTTCACCTGCCAGGTCTTCCCTAGACTGTCCCTGTGCAGCACATCTCAAGATGGCCAAGAGACAGGCTCCTGCTTCTCCGTGGCCAGTGATGCTGGCCTTCATCACTTGCTGGTTCAATATTCAGGCAGGGATCTTTGTGCTAATACCATTGCAGTCCCTGACTGGGAGGTGTTTTCTATGTAGACTTGAAAAGTTACCTCCTTGTCTTCCTTTATATTCTTCCTTTAAACATTCTTTTGCTGTGTCACAGAATCACAGAATGTTAGGGGTTGGAAGGGACCTCAAAAGATTGTCTAGTCCAACCCCCCTGCCACAGCAGGACCACCTAGAGCAGGTCACACAGGAACATGTCCAGGCAGGTTTTGAATGTCTCCAGGGAAGGAGACTTCACAACATCTCTGGGCAGTCACACACAAAACAAAATTAGGGGGCAGGAATCTTGGTCACTGCCCATCACACTACTTGCTTGATTTCTTTTCTAAAAAAACTATTTGTTTCTATCCATTTTTTTATCTTGTGTTATACTTAGACGCATAAGCTAAAAAAAATGGAGTAGGAGTTCTTTCTCTGGTTTCAAATTTGTAGAAATCCTGGATGCTTTGTCTAGAAACACAATTCCAAGTTTTACAGCAGTACAGCACAAGAATTTACATTCTTGCAATGGCAGTAACTCTAAAACTTGTAAGCAAAACTAAATCTTTGAGATTAAAGTGTTTTTTATTTTCACAGTGTATTGTATGACTGTAGTCCTGTGCTGATTTACACATGATGCATGCTGGATAATAAGGTGAATTGCCCTATTTTGATGGAGAGGAAAGTTGAGATATGGAACCAGAGTGAGCTGGCAACGAGGATCAGCATTAAACCTGTCTTTAGCTCAGCCTTGTTCTCGAGTTTTCAGACTCATACATTCAGCAATTTAATATTTCTAAACTCTGGTACTTAAAACTTAAAGTGTTAAGTCACTATCTGAGGTCAAATACAAATGCTGTTGGCTCTGCACAGTAATTTATCAGAAGTTAATTGTTTATCACTAAAGCTTAAATGGATTCCTTATCTATCAATTAACTGAATATAAATTATAAAAAATAGTTTATCTTTGCACAGATAGGCATGTTTGAACTTCATTATTTTAAGCAGCTTCAGCATTATACAATGTTTAGCTCACAAGTTAAAAGTAGCTCAGTTATTTTGAAAAGTGATTTATAAAAAAGCCCTTTACATTTTTTCTCCAAACATTATTGCAGGGCAGATGGTTCAGATTCTGTTGTTTAACCACCCTCGTTATGCGCTCTCTATCTTTAGCTCCTACGCTCTATTTTGACGCTATCACATCTTTGTGTTTGTTCAGGCTTTTCACTTAAGGCGGTATTTCAAAGGAAAACACTGGAATTTTCCTTCAAAAGGGGGGAAAATACTTTCACCTTGTAGAAAGGACATGTTCCTATTTAAAAAAAAAAAAAAGAAGCCTCCTCTTGGCACGCAGCCCAGCAGTACTATCAGCACAATCTAGCAGCTTGGCAGCTTTGCGTGTTGCCATGTTCCCCTTGAGAATCAGAGGGAAGCTATTCTCCGCCTTCGCGAGCCTGCCAAAGGATGGAGGACTTTGATCCTTCAGGGTAACGTTAGAGTAGTTCTCCTCCCAGGTACTAAATGTGACAAAGTGCATTTAATTTACTTGCCTTTTATATAAACATCGAATGTTTTCAGTGAGAATCCAAAGATTTAGTGTAGGCCTTTTATTAATGCCAAATAAACCTTACCTTCTTGATTAGACATGAACATTGATGAGTCTCTGGATAGGGAATTTTACCTTCAGAGCACTAAAAACAGGAGTAAAAACTTTATTAAATAATAACGTGGCTTACTTTAATAACCTATTTAATACAATGTTAAACTACTTTTTCTATATTTATAAGATTAGATCCTTTGAGTGTTGCTATAAGTTTTTGGGGGGTTTTTGCAAGTAATTTTTTAACTCTCTTATTTCAGGGTTGATATCTTATGCAGAGTACTTATTTTTGCTGACAATCCTTACAAGTAAGTATTCTATATTTAAAATACATATGCATAAATACTTAGTTACTAACAGCTTTCAAGGAACTTTTTCTGATATTTTTAAGCTTCTAAATTTCTACATTATAGTAAAACATAAAGAACTGTTGTATATAGACTGATTAAGGCATTAATATAAATGGATATAACTTTGATTGCAGCTTTCTTCCATAGTGTCATCATTGGTCTGTAGCTGTACTTCAAAAATCATAATCCCTGCACCATGGGATCAGAATAGTCTTTCAAGAGACTTTGAGAGGGCAGAGACATTGGTTACAGGACCACATAATAAGGGGAAGAACAACAGTGGGTGAAGATAAATAATTTGTCTTCTGGATGATAGTTTAGTCATTTTGGACAACGAGACATTGACATTATAGCTCATGCAGTGGTGTAAAAAGCTGTTGTGGTGTCTGAAAGGTTGTTGCTTGTTATTCGTCTGTTCAGATATGTGATGGATAATAAACAGCAGAATTCTGCAGTGTCTTTTTGTTTGGCTTTTTAATCCTTTTTTTTCCTCCTCTGTTCCTTTTGACTTCCTCCAAGTATTTGGCATGTATTTCTGTCCCCTCCTTTGCCTCCTTCCTTTTTCTCTATCAGAGGCTTTTTTGAAAAATTGTTTTTGTTTGATACTCGCTTTACCTGCAAACAACAAGCATTTTTTATCGTGCATGGAAGTGATCTTGGATTTTCTGGGTTTCTTCACCCGTACTTACTCTGTGCCATGCTTGCCACCTCCTCGGGCTGTTCAGATGAAGTGTAGGTGATACTAGAAAAAATATCAAGATTTGAGACAAGATGTGTGCAATGAGCATTACACAATGAGACCCACAGACCAGTAGTAAAGTGGTCTGCATGCATGTCCGTGTAATAGTCCACGTGCAGTGTTATTTGACTGACATATACAGGTCTAACATTTTTAGCCAGGGACAAAACCAGGCGTACTAGATCTCATGGTATCAGTGGATGGGGAAAGGAGAAAAGAAAGCAGTCGTTCTTATTCCGATGGGCTGTAGATGCTTGAGCCTCCTCACTGCTGTGGCTGCGAGGTCCATGGCAGGGGCTTAGACAAGCTTTCCTTGCTCTAGAAATCCACCTTCTCACAGTGTAGCACAAACAAGTAACGTTGGTTTCCAGAGAGTGGAGAGAATATATGCAGCCTTCACAGATAACGACCGTCAGTACACACACCTCACACAATCTAGGTAGCCCTTTTGCAACGTAGGTCATTTCTCAGCAGAACTGAATTAGTATCTGCTACGCAGCATGGAGGGTGGTCTCTTAGGAAACTTCAGCTCGTACACAGTATTAAATAGTATATATGCATTGAGATAGCCTATTTAACATACAAATATAGTGTTTCATCGGTAGTGACTGTCCAGTGCTACACGCAACTCGAACATGAGTTATACCATGTGTTCAAGTGTTTTTTAAAATCAGAAATAATATAAGAGTCTAGCCCGGTTGGAAAGCTGATTTTAAAGTATTTATTGCAACTTAAAAAAGAGGGATTTTTTTAAAAAAGGACGACTACAGCAGCCACATTATAACTTCAGAATAATGCATTAATTAAAGTTGCAGAAATAGGTGCCAAAAATTCTATTTCTTTAAAAATCTATGGCAGCTGAAAGTAAATTCATGCTCATTTATTGCCTGAAACAATTAGAAAATAGAAGCAGTATGACAGCAAGTTGTTCCACTTCTCCAGACAGTGAAGGAACATTATTTTTCACAGAATTTATTTAGGAATGTGTTGAACTGCAAAAACAAAGGCACCTTTTGATGCGGTATAAAAATGCAGTGCTAGTGTTGCTGCTTTGGTTACACAGAGGGTTATCACACCGATGAGTTTGAAAGCAAATGTCAACAAGTGTTAGTGCCTCTATCTTTGCCTAACAAATATCCCACATCAGACAGCCCCCCGTTACACAACCTGTCTCTCTCACTGGTGAGAATTAATGTGAGATTTCTTAAAGCAGCCATTAATATTTACATGACTTCCAAGTCACCAACAGAACAATAGGGAAGCAGGAGAAGAGTCACAAGGTTTCCAGAGTCTGAGTTCCAGGACACTGCTGACCAGACCATGCTGCCTGTCATACAAAAGTGCTGTCTGTAACAACACTAAACTTAAAAATATAATTTTGCATCAGATAAAGGTTTTATTTTGCCCTTGTGATCCCTTTTTCTCTTTTCTCTGTGCCTTGTATCATCACTGTCTTTTTTATTCCAGTGCTGTATTGAATTTCATTTCCAGTAATTGGTTAATGGAGCTTGTGGTAAAGCCCTGCCTGGTGAAGGAGTCCGGGAACTGAAGCTGTCACCTTTACTCTAAGCTTCATTTCAATTAGGCAGTCACACATGTTGACAGCTTGGTCAACGTAGGAATAGTTGGAGGGGAAGCACCTAAGTCTAACCTACACTCACAGCCAAGATGAAGATTTTCTGTTCAAATTTTGGAATTTTGCCTGATTCTAATTAAATACAAATATATCTGAGGTAGTCTTTGAACTATGCTTATTTTACAAACACATACCTTTGGGGTTACATCATATCAGATAAGTATGTCATCTCTGAACAGTATAAGCAGCTTTAGGTCCTATATTTTCAGTAACAGCTCTCTTATCTGAAAAGTGTAACACAGATGGTATGAATTACTATTAAATACATCAATTACTTTTATTCTCTAAATATGTTATAGGATAGACTTTTCTTGCTTTTGTACTAGTAACACAAATTTAGCATGTGGCATTTCCATGAAAAGGAATCCAGTTTTGATTATTACAACCCAGTTTCTGGGGAAGGGCTCTGCTATGCAGATCGTAACAGTATTTATAAAATATCCCTGCATCACAAGGTTGTTCCACAGAGAACATTAGTTGGCTGCTGAAGATGTAGTTATTTCTACAATGTAAAAATAGTACTTTCTTTAACCATCTTGTTATCATTTAAAAGGAACGAGATATTTCTTTTACTTGTTCCTTTTGCAGAAAGATTCTCTAAAAAAAAGGCAAGACTTGAAACTTTACAGGATGGAGCTGGAAGAATATATTTCCAAAAGAAAAACTCTGAAGGCATTAGAGTTTTTTAGAGATACTGCTTCACTGCCCTCGTGAGTCCAACATCGTTCTTGAAAACATGAGTATATTCTGGAGCCGATAAGTCCGTGGCTTTCATATTAATGCCTGACTTGACTGGGTTGTGTAATTAATTCACCTGCTCCAGAAATTACTGGGATAAGTGCTTGCTACTGCAGTGAACTGTAACTACATTTCAGCAGCATGCTGCTCCTGTGTGGGCTTACTAATGAGGGAGGCCACCTCCTGTAAGCAAAGTAAGATCAGGAAATTGTGGGAAGGAGCTCAAAACACACTGTATTTTTATAGCGCCTACAAGATTCAGAACTCATTACATTTTTGTGTTGAAAAGAAACATCCACTCGGTGAAGGAAATGCAGGGTAAAATTGTATAAAATTCCTGAAAAAAATCTGCTTGATGGGAGTCATACAAAACATGCTTTTGTCCAAAAAGCCAGAAAGAGTGGTTTATTACATCTTGGTAACATTTGAGTACATTGTTTGGGGAGGAAGGAGAAGGGAAGAAATAAAAGGCCTGGGGCTAACACAGTGGGAGCAGGAGCCGAGAGAGCTGGCTGCAATTACAAGATCGGTCTGTTTGGTAGGGAAAACTGCAAATCCCAGCATACAGTAGTGCCTACAAGAAGTACCTGAGGACTACACTGGCTCTTTCATGCCGTTTGGGAATAATTATTGGTTTCTCAAGGTACTCTCCAATCATCTCACCTGAGAAGGAGCTCTAATAAACAAGGGAGAGCTAGACTTCAGAAGTGACATGGGATTATGGAGACATCTATGGGGAATATCCAAGACCAGGACAGCAAGACATTTTCACAGTCATTGGGATCAGATGGACATTCATGGCCGTACTTACTCACTCCTGGCATTTCTGGCTTTGACATTGCATTAATCATCCCTTGAAACTGTAGTAAAAAGGTGTTTAAAAAGTTTGCTTATATTGGAGAAGGTACATATGGTTTACTGGAAATATCATGTATGTTAATAACAATGGAAAGCTGAACCATAGGCAATATTCCTTTTGCATTAAATATTTAAGTACTAGTGTAAGTGTGTGTGTGTGTGTGTGTATTTACAGTAAAGTCCTTTTGCAATTTGTTGCAGAACCCCATACTGGATTTCAGATTGCCTTTAAAATGTTGGATACAGATGGCAATGAACAAGTTGAAAAGAAAGAATTCTTTAAGGTATGTATATTTATATGCATATTAATTTTAAAGCATTTAAATAGTTCCATGGGTTATATTTGTGAAATGAAGATTTATTAAAATCTTGAAGCCTATTTTTCACTCCAATCTATGATCACATACTTGCTAAAATAGTTTATATGAAAGGAGTGCATACCAAAGCGTTGCTATAGAAGTACTTAAATATTTGAATCCACTTTTATAAATGTTACCTTTGACTTGTATCTGAAAATCTGTTATTGGGAAGGGAGGAGTTGGTGTGCATCCCTTGATCCCATGAGCTAATTTAAATAATCATCTGGAAAAGTATTTTATTTTCTAATTTTTTGTATTTTCTTTAATTCACCATCTTCTCTTGGTTTTTATTAATTTTGTTAGCTGTTGCACAGGTTTTTTACCAATTCACACTTTGGAGAGTAACAGCAGTTTTTCCTGTAGTTCGTATAAAATACAAATATTTGTATATAAATGCTTTAAAAATGAAGAAAATCTTGCTTTGATGTTTTAAAGAAGAATAGGCTTAATTACATGGCTTTTTTAACTTTATTTAACAGGAGACTATTAACTAAATACTTCTTTTCAAAAGTCAAATACAAAATTAACAATCATGTTTTTTAATAGACTCCCTCAGCTTAATTCAGATCCTTCATTCACATTGGAAGTTACTAGGGAGGCGATTTTGTAAGAAGCTGAAATGGCTACTACAACACAAATTATTTTCTGTCTCTAGGATAAAGCCAAAGATGATTTGGACATCGTTTAGTGGGCATGGTGGTATTAGGTTAATGGTTGGACTTGATGATCTCAGAGATCTATTGCAACTCTGTGATTCTATTCTATGATCATTAATCATCAACTCTAGAGAACCATACAATCTAAAACTTACAAATATGCACCTGTTGACAGAGAAGTTACCAAAAATTTATTTAAGTGTATTTTTATAGCCTTAAACTCTGAATTAATGATACAATAGAAAGTGTTTTCCACTGATAGCTGTTTTTTGGTGAATTGTCTCTTAGCAAGATTACAATTGATGAGTCATACTTAAATATATTTTAAAATACAGTAAAAATACTTTTAGACTTAGCATTGTTTAAAAAAATACATGAAATTACAACATTTCCCAAGACAATGTTCACAGAAGCCCCTAACTGAGCCTGCAGATAACCTGCGCTCATTTGTTGCTACACAGAATCTTTCAAGCTTGAAGGATTTGCTCAGTTAAAATGTTAATTATTTTACTGATTAAAAAAAATCAAATTCTAGCTAAAGCCTTTATTTTTAACCTACTAAACCTGTGAATTGTTATCAGAGTAGCAGTGCTGTGATCACCGAAATATGTCTGTTATGGCTGTATTGTTCATCTACAAAATGGTGTGTTACAGGGAAAAGTAAGTCCATGAGCACAAGGGAACATATTCAGCCTGTAGTGCCTCTGCACCAAAATGCCATGCTCACAGTACGTCCTTTAAATAGGTACTGTGTCAGTTAAGCAAATGAGGAGATTCTTGCAGAAATAGAGCACAACTCTCTTGGGGAGAAGTACAGTATGTCATATATTTAATATCCATTACCCATTTCATGTAATTCTAATGAAATCAGCCAGTATGAACAACAGAAAGTCATCAGAAGTAGAGGTGAAAACATTATATAAATCGTTTAAAATAATTTTATTTCTGTTGAGGCAATCAAATTAAATTAAATTAAAATTATTGTAGTTAGATAGATTGTTACTTTGCATTTGCTTTATAGGAAATTAATAGAGTGGTAAAAAAGTCATATAAATTGCTGTGTCAACTCAGAAGGATCATTAAATGAAAAGAAGTCCCACAGTATGCAAGCAAGTCAAAAGATGAGTTTTCTCACGTGACTGCTTGCCCAACATTTATAAGAGGTGACTTATTTCAAAGCAAAGATTAGGTTTAAAAATAAACTTCTTTGAATGTAAGAATCTGGGAAAATGTGTGTACCTTAATGTCTGTATACTCTAGTTCTGTATGCATCATAGAAAGCTTCTGTATGTCTAATAAATTAGTAAATTGTATGGCTAATCTGTCATTTGTCTTGTCCCAGTTGGTATCTCAAGAAAATACATCTGAACTATTCTATAGTTATTTTCACACTATATTTGGCAATAGAATCAGGAAACGTATGTAAGGAAAAGGCAGTGGAAAAGCATAGAAAAGAAGCAGTAATTAGGAGGTGGTTACTGTAAGCGGTATGTGATGGGAAAAGAGATTTCAGAGCTACTTCATTCTCTTGCTTTGTCACCTCTTCTCCCTACTTCCCATCCGTTACCTACTGATTAGACATCTGTGTATGTCTACATTACCTGTTGATCTAGACTTTAAATTCTTGGAGGTAAGAACTTTGCCTTTTTGTTTGCAAAATGTCCCATCATTCTTTGAATTGTGTACATCTCAACTCTCACATATTACTGGATAAATGGGCACAAGATGTGTCACATGAATCATTTAGGAAAGAGAGAAGGGTGACAAGCAGACTCTACAACCCAAGTCCTTCATGCCTTCCAGGACATTCATGTGAGACTTGGTGAGGGGTATTTCCAAGCATGTGCACATAGTAACCCATGCACATTAATCTGAGACCTCCCATACCAAAGACCCCAAAATCCCCAGCAACTGAGGAATTTCCCTAACTCTGTCCTGATGAAAGATTTCTAAGTAAAATTAATGACAGTTCAAAACTATTGGGAATGGAGGTAGGGTAACACTGATGGCACATGCAAGAGCTATGTGATTTTCTAAATAGACTGTCTTTATACACTTATCCTGGGCAACAGATACCACAAAAACCTTGTAGAGGTTCATTGAGTGATGAGTGAACCAGCACGCGACACTGTCAGCAGCTGTGGCGGTTTGGTACAGAGCACCTCTGCAGTCCTAAAGCATCCACAAGCACTAATCTCTCTCAAACTGGAAGTTGCAAAATCACCTTTTCTTTTTTTAAGACTGACATAGCCTTTCTGACAGCTCTTGTCGTCTTCAGAAAAGATTACTTCTTAGTATTTCTTTACTAAAGAGGCATCAGTGGTGCATAATGGATCTCATTATCTTTGAGTTAGCCATTAGTATCTTCCAGTGATGAACAGATATAAATATGAAATACAGATAAATAATAATAATAAATGTTACATGGAGAAGTTAAGCGTTAGAGTCCATTTCTCAAGGGCAGAATTATTCTCCCTCAGTGAGTAGTTGCTGCATTGTGCTGGAAAAAATATGCAAACTACTGGAAATAGTTTCAAGCACTATAAGGATTTACATACAGTTTAAGAAAACAATAAACTAAATCTTCCAGAACGCTTGTGGAAAAAAAAGTATACTGTGTGTCTGTGCTCTTTAGTATTCTCTGCAGAGATTTTAAGAGTCATTTAAAAATAAAATCCAAAAGAAAAAATCATATTTTCTCTTGTTTGGAAAGTGTTTGCAGTTGTATTTCTTGTGTGTGAGCAAAAGATGGATTTTTCAGGTAAGAAGAAATGTAATTTTTCAGTGAGAATATGGATAAGCAGTTGTGGTTTTACCCAGAGCTCTACGTTGCTATTTTGATATGAAGAAATTCATAATGCCTTTGCTGTACTAGTCAATTGTTTTGTAAGCGATCAAAATTAAAAAGAACTTGGAGAAACTTGGAAGAACTAGTACTGTGTGATTGTCTTGTTTTACAGTATTTATTTTCCTAAATACTATCAAGGCATGCCATTCAGAAATAATAATAGAAAGTAACTATCCTGAGGAACTCAAAAATTGAGGCTATAAAAAAAACAGAACAGGTGAATTAGTCAAAATTTGAAGGCCAAGGGAAGACCTTTGGCAGCACCAAAGTTAGTGTTCTTTTTCCTACTTGCTACTTACAAGGCCAAACTGCTTCTCTGAACAAGATACCAAAAGCAAAAACATAAAGCCCTGAGCAGATATTTGAAAACATCACAAAATAATGGCTATGCAAATTTGGTCATGGATTATTTTTTTTCCCAGTTTTAATGGGCAGGGTGAGAAATCAGAAATGTTTGAGAAGCAAACCGGCAGCTTTGAAAACCCTGAGCTTTAAAAGCATCTTTAATAAAGTCTCCAAATGCAGAGTGATCAGTGTAAGCCCATATCTGTACCTGAAATGTAATAAGCCCCTTGTTCTTTCATTTTTGCTGTCCTTTTGAGGATTCATGCGAATTTCTGTGAAAGGTAGGTATACCTTGTGCTATGTTAAATCACACGTTCTTGTGGCAGTGTTGACCTCCCAAGCTAAAATACAGTCAAAGAAACCTTGTAGCTGAGATATTCTCGAGGTGCTGCAAATTAATGCACGTTCTATATTACCTTAAAACTCTATTTGAGACAGTGGAAGTTACGGTTTTTAATGTGAGTCATTTCAGTACTTCCAAAAATCTTCTTAGCTAACATATTCAAGATTCATTTATTTGTGGGGTGGAGGGGAAACTCAAACCATATTGTGCTTAGTGCAAGTTCTGAAAATGTTTGCTTATTTAATTTGATTATTCTTTGTTGTTAGTTGTATAGTACCTCATATGAACAGAGATGTTTTTCACGTCTAGATGATCATGAACTATGTAAAAGTGTCTAAGAGGACAGCATGAAAATCACAGGGTAGTTTTTGTTTCCTGATGTTATACCCTTGAGTTTCAAAATCTTACAGAGTGAATGCTAAGCTTCTAGTGCAAGAAAATCTCCTCTAAAAATAGAGTAAGCACTGGGTTGCAAGAGATAGATTCATATGCTCTGCTTGGCTATATTAACCACAGTAGATAAGACATTCCTGGGAAAAAGTGTGTCTGAATAGCAAAACATCCTTAAGTATGCAAATATTTTGTCATGACTAGAGAACCTTGCAGAAACTTAATGACTTTATAATTAAGAAAAGGTGAAATTAATGCAACTTTCTGAAACAGGAGACTCTTGTAAAACCAAATTTGTAATTTTGCTGTGTTTTTTTCATCTTCTAACAAATACAGCTACAGAGAATCATTGGGAAGGAAGATGATTTGAAAACAGCTGGAGACGAAACAGCATTTCGGGTATGAAATAGAGATACATTTTTCTTTACAAAAGCATCGTCATATTTCCTGTGAACTTTGTTGTTTTTTTAGATAAGTATATAATCATCAGTATTAGCGCTTTAATTAAATCAAAGTGCATGATTTGTCAGCTACTTTCTAACTGCGGAAGAATCTCCTGATGAAATGTATTCAATTATTGTATTTCATTACTGTGAAGTCACGCTGTTATTTAGTTCCTTTAAGCCTCTGTTTCAAAGTAATTCTCTTCTATTTATGAAAAACTCAGAAAAAACCTCTGCATTGCCATCTGAGAAAAGAGACAGAAATTGATACCTTAAACTTACCTAAGTGCTGCTATTGCAGTAGTATCAGCTTATTCTGAATTGTGTTTGAATGTAATTACTGTCACTGAGGTAACAAAGGCAAGGATTACTTTAGTTAGATCCACTTCCAGAAAGAAATGGCGTAGATGCAGACCAGAAGAAACAATCTTAGAGTATGATCTTCCAACTGGGTTAGAAGTTTCACTGGATTGCAGACCATTAGCAAATGGCAAATACCCCTTGACAATGAAAGGGGCAGGTAAATTCTTGCTCTCTTCTGGCTGTTTTCCCCTGAATCCTGCCGGTGTAACCTACCTTCTTCCCAGGAAGAGTCTTTGCCAGCTGCCATCTCTTCTTCAGTCTGTGTCAGCACAGAGACAAGATATTCTGTACCCTGGATGAGATTGAATGACACTGAAAACAGAGAGAGGGAAGTCTGGAGTATACTGAAAACACCTCAGAAGCAGCTGATGAACCAGGGCAAAGGAGAGGGAGAAGACAGATGGATTATCTACATTTATTACTATAAGATGCTGCTTACATCAGCAGCACTACTTTTGTTGCATGCTTAAATTGGATGGTGTAGCTGAAGAATATTTTTCTCACCACAAACTTGCTTTCAGTTGTAAACTGAAAATGGGTAATTAGGCATGAGGCAGCCACTGCTCGTGTTGGAAGCGTTCAATAAGAAATTTATACAGGGCTCTGCTTTATAAACCTATCATGTCAGCAGTTTCTACAAAGAGTTCATCCAGCTTGTGTTCTTTAGTTTTTCACCTGCCTTGTGAAAAATGGAAGTGGCAATATTGCTAAGACCTTTAATATTTGCTAGGCATAAACAAAAACTGTCTTCTGATACATAAAGGTTTTTCTCCCTCAATATGCGTAGAGAGTTCAGTTAAAAATTGTTTGACTGACTAACAACCATCTCCTTTTCATCAGTCACCAGATTAAAATAGCTAGGATTAATAGGGTTGCCTGCTCCTCAGAACCTATTTCAATTGAGACTTAACTGCCATGACAGGGAAAGAAAAAGGATCTTTATTCTGCATGAATGCATAGATGTCGTATAAAATTTCTAGGGAAACTTTGATACAGTTGGACAGATTTAGTTATAAACACATAAGCTTATTGGGAGCTAATTAAATGCCTGAGCCTGAATGTCTCTATTTTGGTTTTTTGTCTTCAAATTTTGTCGTCAGAATTCTCCATTGAGAAAAATCTGAAGTTATTGTAACCAGAAAATATTATTTAATACAGGTTCTTAGCAGATCATAAATGGAATTATAGTACGTTCCAAAGTAGAATTAAATAGCTTTGGGGAGTACAGCTATCTTGAAATTCTTCTGGTCCCTATATTTCTACCTCCAATGTCCAAATTATCACTTTTCTTCTAATCTTTGTTTTCTTTCCTGTCTCAGTCTCTCAGAAAAGAAGTTGATTATCTTTATAAGCAGTGAATCTGACTATACGGTGTAGTCTGCATATGTTTTTACCCCTTATTTTTAATAATTATGGCAGTCATAGTATTACTTTCAAGCAAAGCAGATAAAACATAAAGATACCGTTTTTAAATTGGCTTGTTCTTTGAAAGCTGAGACACTGCACCAAAAATCTGGTGTTTGGGATAGTTCTTTATTTCTACAACACTTTCAGAATTTGCATATGAGTTTGCTGGTTTTTCAAAATAATCCCAGTCTCTGATACCGGATGGAAAATGTCACTGACTTACAAAAATACGGTTTAAATGATAGCCTGCAACTTTATTTAACCAGCAGGTACATCCAGGTATGTTCCCTGTACAGTGTGTAGACAGAGGTCCCTGTCATTCATTTACTGTATGGAGGTACTGCTTAATACTCATTGTGATACTGTATAAGGAAAAGAAAAAGCAGTTCGTTTGCTGTGCTCCCAGGATGCTTGTATTTCTGCCACTTTTACTGAGACTTTGACTTGCATGTCTAAAATTCAAAATTTCACCATTTAGTAATGGCGCTTGAATGGGATTGCAGTGGACTTGGTTATTCAGATAAACATAATTCAATTGGGAGATTGATGCTGGAAGAAAAGCCAAAAAACTCTGCCTAGCCTTAACCAGCCCAGTCTTTTGGAAAGTTCCTTGCTGACTTTCACAGAGCAGGCAATCTGATCCACTCATAGTACAAGTGTGCGCACAGCGAAGGAGAGAGGCAGGCAGACGCACAAGACTGGCAACCTGCTTCTTTCTAAGTAGAGTGGAGAAATTGGTGAAGAAGTCAACAGAGGCAGTGACTGTCTCACCTCACCCATCTTCCCACAGGCCAAAGGAAATGCTGCATCTGGCTTCCTAGCAGAACTGTTCTGCTTTGTATGAAACATGCAGCTGGGCATTTGACTGCTTCATGGAAGAGGAGATGCAAACTTCTTGCCTGGAAGTGGTGTAGAGTGTTATAGGAAAGTGCAAGAGCTGGAAGGGTTTGGTGTATTTTAAAAAAGGTGTTGCCCAGTAAACAGCATCAGTTGCGGGGGGTTTTTTTGTGTTACTGCCCTGAGTTCCTCAAAAGGATACTTTAATAGCGTTACAGGCATTGATGTTCTGGTGGTGAAAACAATGCTAGTGGTTACAGATATAACCCAGTCGTCTAGATCAGAGACTTTGCTCTTGGGCCCTTCAATTTAGATTAATGAGTTATCAGGTAGTTTCAGTATCCCTGATTCAATATGCTTTGTGTAATGGCTAAACTTAGAAATTAATTTTAGGTATTGTTAGGAAAGGAATGGCAATACAGAATGTTCTATATTTTTTTTTTAAATCAAATTCATGTTTCATTTACAAATGATTAAACAAAGGCTTCTGGGTTCCATAATGAATACATTTCATATAAAGTATTTCATTTACATGGTTTTTTTGAAACATTTAACTAGTAATTGGGGACACAGCTATTAATGTCTTTTAAACAGAAAACTTCTGAAGTAGAATTCAGTCTGACTATAAGCAGTATACTTTGAGACCCACAGATGGATCTTTTCCTGTTAATTTTGTATCAGTTGTTTTAACCTGTCTACCTCTCTCTCTTTCTTTTTTTTTTGGTCCTAAGAGAGGTGAATGATGTTAGTCATTCACGCATTTATCACCACTGAGCTGGTCAACACAAGGTTTTACACTTGCACCTTCTGACTTTGCAGCATTGTGATGCATCTCCTCAGCCACAGAGACTGTGCAGGCCGTTGTAACCTGCCTGTCTACTCCCTAGGATTTCTAATTACTTTAAAGTTTTCTGCCCATAGCTTCAAAGTCTGCAAAGCCCTGGGCCCAGAATAGCAGAATAATAAAGTCTGCCTAAACTGAAGGGAGAAAGATGATGGTTGAGAGCTGTGCTCTTCTAGAGCAGTAATACTCTGTAACAGAGGTGCAGCAAATTGAATTTTGCAAGAATCTGGTCTGAGACTGAAGTTAATATCCCTCCCCAAAAAAGTATGTCATTAATCTTGTCACTTCTCAGTTCAGATGGAGTGCACATTTTTTCTTGACCTATCTTTTCCAATGTAAATGTGAATGGCTTTTATCAGCAGATAAACATTGAATTTTGTTGAAAAGCTTTAGATTCTTTAAACCAAGGAGCACTGCAATGTTCCTGTGTGCTTTAAAGGAAGCTCTCCAGGCAGGTAAACCCCATAAAGAGCCAAGCCTTGTGTCATCAAAATATTAGGCTATTAAAAAACTGCTGGGTCATTGTTTTTACCTCATGGACAAGTAAATTATTTTATTTTTCCGTGTGATCTGATGACATTATAACCTCAAGAAAGACAAAGAAACATGCTCTCTGACATCTTTCTAGGTACCTATTCTGCAAGTACAATAAATTTGGCTTGGATAGCCAAAGTCTCTCCCATGAGGAATTCATCTGGAAGCTCGTTGTGGTCACAGTAGCATTGCTTTCCGTTGCACAGATGTGTGAGGCAAGGCTACCCCTTTAGTCTCTGCTACTTAACCTAGTCTGAAGTGCTTTAAATCATATAGAGAAGCCAGATAGCAGTATGGGCTCCTGACAGGCCAGGGAAAACACACGACTTGGCCTTGCACAAACAGCTCTAGTCTTTGATTCAAAACAGCAAGAATTTGGTCATAATGTCTGAAGGCTGCCTAGGGGATTTGCTTGTAAAATTGAAATAAACTGGAAATAGTGCACATAAACGTGCTTGGCCAGCATTTTGTGATGACTGAAACTTGGGATGGCAGCCCGAGTGTGGACTACCTGGAGACACATTCAAACAGCAGAATAGGGGAATTTCACAGTCCATCTGAGTTGGTTTTAGCACTGAGAGCAAGGAGGTTTACACCTGCTGAGGATGGGTGTGCTCAGCCTTTAAGGCCAAGTCCACATAAATCAGTGTGCTTCAAAGAACATCATACCTTCTGAGGGGGATCCTTGATATGGATTCTCTACTGTTGATGGAAATTAATATTTTTAAAGTATGGCGTGACAGGGAGGCAGGGCCTGAATTCTTGTGAGGGTCTGTGCCCAGCTGTCTGTAGAAGCTGCTTTCCCCAGCTGCCAGCAGCGCAGCACTCAGGCAGCCTCCAGCTTCACAGTGCAACAGTGCCATTCCCTGACTGCTTGATGCAGTCAGCCGCTGGTCACAAGACTAGTTTCAACACATTCCTATTTTTGGCATAAAGTATCTCTTACAATGTCTGCTCCTAAATTACCTTTAGTCCATTTGGCTGGAAACCATTTTTATTCTGTACCTCCTCATGAATTGATGCAGAACTGTGGGTGATGCACTGAAAGCTGAGGATGCCTATGAAGTTACATTCTCTTCCTTGCTAAACGGTACAGCGTAGCGATTCCATGGCATTAGTTGTCATAAAAAAAATAATCCCCCAGTAATGGGAATTATAGATGTTGTTGAATGCTGGATACAAGCCGTTTATTGTTTAGAAAATCCTCCATTGGACAACTTCTCAGATACTGTTATAGCCTCTGTAGAAAAAATTGTGCACATTTTAGCCCTTCTGTATCAGACTTGATGTATTCTTGAATCCTATGTAGTAAGAAAGTGCCTTGCAAAACATTAAAAACATTAATATGGATTTACATCATGATTAAAGCTGATTCATCATTAAATGATATGTTGTTTTATTCTGGGGCCCACTTGAGGCTGTCTGAGCTTTGCCAAAAAAGATTGCTTTTGGAGATCTGGATCTCCCAATCCCACTGGCTTCCCTGTTTACGGTTCTTTTGACTGGCTGTACCTAGTAGGATTAATTTCATAATGGATACATCTTTTAAACCTTCCCAGAACTGAGTTGTAGGATGTATCCCAGTGTCTTGGAAGACTATCAAAATGACAGAAAGCTTGATGCTTTTGAGCAGTGTTTGAGGCTAGGCTGCTTAGATTGAAGTCTAGCTTGCCTTCAGGGATAGAAGCCTGGCATAATGAATTGACTGACCTAGCAGCTGAAAAACAAAAAGAAGTGGACTTAGAAAAATTAGCAAAGATTTAGTCTTACTTTTGGAAAGATTTGGAACATCACTAGCAGACAGAAACTAAGAAATTGTTCTCCTTGGCCCTCCTCTCTTTTCTGCCCCTGTTCTTCATCTGCTCACTCTCCTTCTATCTTAACCAAAAAAAAATTCAATCCAAAATATGTGTTATTTTTACAATTTCTATTGAAACAAGACATTGCACAGCAAATACCATCTCCCAGGAAGCAAGAAAGAGAGTAAGGAACATATTACAGATTTTAATCACGATGAATGCTTTCCAGTCATGCTTCAGGCAAATTCTGCAAGGAAAGGTGGTAAGAATCTAGAGACAGTAAGTCTATTAACATTTCAGATGACTTTTGAAAATCAGTTAGGTACATTATTCTGAAAATCCTGTCTCACTGGATGATAAGTTTCTTCTCAGTGGCACTTGTTGCTACTTGCTATGGTATCAGGTCCTAAATGTCAAAATCTCAGTGGGGAGCTACAGAATTAGGTAGGTCTGTGCCAGTGACTCACTGCTGCATCAGGCTTCCGTGTTAACAGTCTGTGTAATGTAATAAGGAAATAAATGTTGTGTTATCTGATCTTGCTTAAAAAGGAATAATTGCATAATTCAGCAGTTCGTGGTGCTTTTGAAAAGCATATGAGGTGTTAACATTACTCTAGGAAAATAAGCCTATGTTTGTAATACGTACACAGGTGTTCATTAGTTCATATAGACTTGTGTGGCGTCAGAACTTGGTCTTTGGGGTGCTTTGTCTGAATTGATGGACTCTGGAACATGTCTGAGTTCCCCGGTTGAGATAGGTGTGTCTCTGCCCCATCCCGTGCTTGTATCAAGATGAGACTCAGAACATCAACATCCTCTCTGCACTCTGTGCCTCAGCTTTCTGTGAAGTGCACATCCCAAAAGGGTGCTATGGTGCAGCCTCCCAGGGCTGAAGCTACCAGATACACCGGAATACAAACTTTCACTCAATTTAGGTAGTAGCTTTGTGAGTCAAAGCTCCCAGTCTGGTTCTTTTTACAGCTTCAGGATAAGGTTACCATTTTGTTCTCATTGGTGAGAGAGACATTCCAAATGTAAGTTATTGTTTTACCTAAGCTCAGGAGAGTGAGGTGTTGGAAGTATTAATAGAGCCCTCATTATCTGCTAACAAAGATTTGTCATGTCGGTACTAATTTATACAGTTCAGCAGCAAAAGCTCCTAATGATTCTGTGGACAAAAAGGAATTATGTACTAACATGTACTTTAATTTAATAGCATTAACTCTAGGAAGAGCAGTTTTTTGAAATTTTACCCTTAAGCTGTAGTCTCTGTGGTTTCCTATTGCATATTCTGTTTTAAAGAAATGTACTGTTTTGTAGTTTTAAAATACATTTAACTCTCACTAACATAGTGTTTGGACATCTGCCAATTCCACTTTGGAATTTCAACTGATAAAGAAGGTAGCCAACAAGTAGGTGCATTTTTGTTATAAATCCAGGGGTAAGCTTTGTCATCTTAGATAAGATGAGATAGGTATTGTTTGTATGTCTTCTTACTTATAGCTAGAGAAACATGAATAGAAGAAAAGAACTACTTTTATCCCAGACTTAGTTTTTAAAAGGTTATTTGAAACCTTGTTTTTCCATTTGTTTTCAATACAACACTGATTTTAATATGGAGTAATTAAATTGGAAGCATTAAATTACTTAATCATGAATTCAGTTTTTAAAACTACACCAGCAAATTTATTTTTTGCATTTTTCAAGTCTCCTTTAAACATGTAAGCAAAAAAAAAAACACACAAAAAACCCAGATTAGAATCTCTCTGCAGTGAGAAATACGTGGATTTTTCTCTGTTTCTTCTTAGAAAACTTTGCATTCTGACATAAATAGTTCGAGTTTGAATTTCAAATAAGTATACATGAATATTTGACTTTTGACTTTCAAGAAAGCGTATACCAATGTTTATGCATCAGTCTTCACAGTAATCTGAAGTGTTTAAACTTTAGAAGGATGGATCTTGTGGGTATTTAAATATTCTTTGCCTGCAGTTAAATGATAAAAGTTCAATAAGTACAGTTTACATATGGCTTGAAAAGTGTTTTTTTTTCTAGGTTCACCCATACATCACTTGTATTGCTGGCATTTAGTGAATTGTAGCTTGCAGTAGAAATGAGGAATGTTACCTCTTTGACTATAAAATAACTGTATCACCTATGCAGTAAGCATGAAACACACAGTGGACTAATGGGACTTGTTATTGATGATGCTGAAAGCTAAATAACCATTAGTATTAAATCTTATGAATAGACTCTTTTCTTTCATCATACCTTTTCAACCAGATAAAAGACACAGAGGCTATTTAGATGTCATAAGAATAGTTTGTTGAAATCCCTCTGGACTTACCAAAAAAAAAATATCTCTTCATGTTGCTTAGTGTTTTGTTGTGTTCAAAGAAATGCCAGTAAGCTAGTGCTGAAAGAAGAATAGAACAGAAGTCCAGCATTATGTGTGATTTTAGGCTTGTTAAAGATGCTGTTGAGTTGAAATAATGTGCATCCTTTTTCTGCAGAAATCTCTTCATCAGATTTAAAAAATATATAGAAATGTCACTAACATTGAAAATTTGCCAAAAGCCTTGTAAGACCATATTATAATAGAGTACTGTGAATATATTTTTCTAGTTTCACTTTTTAGACTATCATGAATGTTTTTTAAATGGCTGCAACAAATTAGAAATACCTGACTAAAAACTTTTTTACAAAGATGTTAACTTTATTTAAAGCCTCTATTCACCTAAGCATAAAGGTTTTTAAAGATTTAACTAGCAACCTTCTCAGTTCTAATAGTAAAATACACCGAAGGTGGTTGTAAATTGTAATCGTCTTTCATACAGAATGTTTAGAAGCAGACCATATAATATGCTATTACCAGTTGGTGTGGAAGAATTATTCAGCTCTGAGATCCAGTGTGATAGCTTTGGGAACAGTATTTAAATTGCAAGTATCTCTTGTGAAATTCTAGTTCAAATAAATATTTCTAGATTTGTGGTGAATAGATATTAATAATCATACAAAGCTTAATAATTAATCATACAGTTTTTTTGTTTTATAGGGAGCAGAGCTGGAAAGCTGTGGTGTTAATACCATGTTGCTGATACATTTCTTTGGAAAAGAAGGAAAGGAAAAGCTTCACTATTCTGAGTTTTTCAGGTATTTTTTCAGCTAGGCAAGCAATCGGTCCTGTTCCTACCCCCTCTACTTTGCACCTACACTGGCGTTAATCTGGCCGCACACTGAGCTGATTCAGAAGGTTAAACAGGTAATGAAGAAGGAGATTATTCATGATTTTGCATGATTAAATTTCTAATTTAGCTCCTGGAGTCAGCTGTCTGCAGGAGGAGTTGAGCACCATGATATAACTCCAAAGCAGCAATGCACTGTGAGGGATGAGACTACCATTCCTTGCAGCTGTGAGATGGCATACCTTAGGTCAATATGATTCATGAGTATTCTTCTTGATCAAATCACGGAAAAAGTGACTGCTAATCAATTTTAAAAGCTTTTCAGAGCTGAGACACCCCCCTCCCCATTACAACTGTCATGGTAGGCTACAGGCAACTTCTTTGCTTGCTTCAAATTCCAGCTTCTGTTGAAACTTAAGCTGTGCCCTTTCCTTTACCCTTTGAACTACTTTTGCAATGGGACTATGCAGGTACTTCGTGGCACTTATGTCAGAACTGAGAATTGAGACAGATGGTAAAACCCACATCAGGCTGAAACTGCAGTGGAATACCAAGTGGCCATTAGTGCTGGAAACGTAGTGCTGTATACCCATCTATTTCACTGTAAGCTTTGCAAAGTTAGAAGTTAACAGCAAGTTCTAGGACTGGTGCAGGGAATTGTTCAGTTTATACATCACGTACATGTCAGAAAGATGGTGTAATCCTTGTCTATATCAGAGTATGGAGTTCTGCTGTGGTTGCTTTTGACTTGAAAACCCAGCTGGGTATCAGCTGTTCATGTTTTAATTGGATGAGATTCTTTCTTCCAGTGTTTATTTCAGTTGGCAGTGGTGACTACCACCTACACAGCATCACAACTTAACTGGTTAAAACTCTCTGTTACTTGGGAAATCAATTTCTCCCATTAGTATGAACTCCAGACACATCTTGCTATGTGAATTTGGGCCCGGAATCCAAATGCACAATCTTTCTTTGAGATAAATGGAAGTTAAGTACTAAATACCTGTGTGAATCTTGACGCATGTCTTCTAGCACAACATCAAGAGAAGGTCATCTACATCAGTATTACCTTTTCTACAAATATAATCAGTCATTTGCAGACTTCAAAAATAAAGTAGGATAGTGTGTTTTGCTTCAGTTCAGAAGCAGAGTATCTGTGTCAGCCCTCTTAAAAATGAATGTTGTTGCAATTAGTAGAGTCTTGGGGAAAGCCAGAGTAGAAAAGGAAGAGTGGCAATTTTTCTAACGCTGAAAAGTGTTCGGCCCCACTGGCTCTGGCACACACCAGTCTTCAAATAAACAACCTTTCTCTTTCGAAGACCTTGACTCAATAGAAACCTTAAATGAGTGAAATAAGTTTAAGATGCCTCCAGCTCCCTTTTCTATAAATACTGTAGATCCTCTCAGTGAAACAAAAGGCAGACAGCAGCAGTAAAAGGTTGTGTTTGCATATACAGTGTAAAGTGAAAAACCTCAGGTTTTAGATAAAATCCTACACTGACCAAATGAGGCATGACATTGATGAAACTATGTACCTAGTACGTTCAGAACGCGTAGGTTAAAGACCTTTGGCTACCACACAGATAGAGGCCTCTAATCAAAATCAAACTCCTGCATCTTGCTCTTAAAGTCTGTGGCATAAGTGTAAGGTTTAATGCAGGTAATTTTTCAACAGTGGCAGTTATGTTTCATAGGGCTGGAATGTGCCTCTTTATCACTGCGTAGACACTTCATCTTAGTTGCAACATGACAGTGAAGTTTGTTTAACATGCAGAAAGGTGAATAAAAGGATCACTGTCTTTTTAGCCTCTGTGAAGATATCACCTTTCACATGATTTTATTTGCAAGTAAATCAAGCACATCATTTCTGGGTTCCTATTGTTCAGAGAAAATGTGATTTCTATCTGATGGCCTCTCATAACATTTTACCTTACGCGGGAAGCTATTGTTGGCTGTTTGATCAAAGTGCCACGCTGTTTTTACAAGAGATGACTGATGAGCTGTACAGACATAGATCACTGTCAAAGGCAGAAAATAATGATGGTAAATGCTTTTATCATTTTCCAAGTTCTTGCCTAGAAAGCTTTTCCATTGATCAGTGTAGTACCTAGTAGAAAGTAGGGGTGATTAGGTTTGATTAGGACACACTAAAACTTGTCACATTAGTTAAATACACAGATATTGCTGTGTGTAGGGTCCTTGAAACTGAAAGAAAAAAAAAGGCAGGAATATGAAATTTCACTGTACTTACATGGGAATTCAGAAAGCTGAGACTAGTGTTCTCACCTCATTACTTAACATATATTTTCCTCATGCTTCCCCCTTTTCAGTTTGGCTGACGTTAAAAAATCCTTTTGTAAGTCTGCAACCGTCTGTATCTACGTGTTCACCAGTGATGTCCGAACCTTTTAGCCCACAGTCCAAACATTTAAGAAGTGTCAGGTAGCCACAGTCAATATATCAGGGAAATTAATTCACCCTGTTCTCTTTTCTTTGCATTCAGATGGCACACAGAAAATGGAAACTGTCTACATCTCTTCAGGCAATGTGGAGCTGATGTAAGCCAGCTCTTGTGCCTCCCTTCCTACTGCCCCCAACACAGGAGGCACACTGATACAGGGAGGGAAAATGGTTAAGCATGCTGTGCTCCATCTGTCTCCAGCTGGTGCATGGTTCTTGGGAAATCATAGGTAGGTGATACACACAAGGACAGTCCTCAGAGATAAAGAATGAGACTGTGAAACCAAATATCAGATCACTTTTCAACTTTTCTTGGGCTTCTGGGAGCATGGAAGTAAAGAAGTAACCTTTTCATAGTTATTTTGTGACACCAGTCAAACTCTTTCTTACTGTCATACAGAACATAGTCAAAACAGCAATCAAAGCTGCTTTTCATTCTCTGCTGAGCAGTGGTGGTGGGACTTCTGCTTCATTCTGCAGGCAGAATGCACCCTTAGTAAGTTTGCAGACGGCACCAGGTTAGGTGGGAGTGTTAGGCTGCTCAAGGTTAGGAAGGCTCTGCAGAGGGATCTGGACAGACTGGATCGATGGGCTGAGGTCAATTGTATGAGGTTCAATAAGTTCAAGTGCTGGGGCCTGCATTTGGGTCACAACAACCCCATGCAGCGTTACAGGCTTGGGGAGGAGCGGCTGGAAAGCTGCCTGGCAGAAAGGGACTTGGGGGTGTTGGTCAACAGCCGGCTGAACAGAGTTCCCAGGTGGCCAAGAAGGGCAATGGCATCCTGGCCTGTACCAGAAACAGTGTGGCCAGCAGGAGTAGGGAGGTGATCGTGCCCCTGTACTCGGCACTGGTGAGGCCAATACCTCGAGTACTGTGTGCAGTTTTGGGCCCCTCACTGCAAGAAAGACATTGAGGTGCTGTAGAGAGTGCAGAGAAGAGCAACAAAGCTGATGAAGGTCCTGGAGAATAAGTCTTATGAAGAGCGGCTGAGGGAACTGGGGCTATTTAGTCTTAAGAAAAGGAGGCTGAAGGGAGACCTTATTGCTCTCTACAGCTACCTGAGAGGACATTGTAGAGAGGTAGGTGCTGGTCTGTTCTCACAGGTAATTTATGATAGAACAAGAGGGAACGGATTCCAGCTGCGCCAGGGGAGGTTTAGGCTAAACATTAGGCAAAATTTTTTCTCTGGAAGGGTTGTCAGACATTGGAATAGGCTGCCCAGGGCGGTGGTTGAGTCACCATCCCTTAAAGTGTTTAAAGGTAGTTTAGATGTGGTGCTTGGAGATATGATTTTAAGGGTGTACTTGGTAGAGTAGGGTTGATGGTTGGACTTGGTGATCTCAAAGGTCTTTTCCAACCTGAATGATTCTATGATTCTGTGATTCTCCAGTGACTGCTTAGAAGTAGTGGAAGCAATCCAGGGAGTACACCATGCTATGTCTTTCCCATAGTAACAAGGTGATTTCAGAGATCTTAAGGTAGGACTCAAGGAACACATGTTCAGCTCCAGACTGCTACATGATTTCTGCCAGTTGTATCGTCCTTAACATAAGGACAATATGACAATAATAATTCATAACTTCAAAAGCGACAGCTTGTTTCCCTGGCAGAAGTTAGGAAATGTAAATCTAAATTATTCTGGAGTATGTTTTTATGCCTCACTAGTAAAGATGTTGCCTCCTAGTCATTTGCGTCTGGAATTGTTACTCTCCTGTATCAGTTTAAGAAACTACAAAACAATATGCAGCAAGCCTAAAATTGTGTAACAAAGAAGGGTAGATTTAATACAAGAAGCTGTAACCAGGTGAAACTTTCTTCTCAGAAGACCTGAACAAATTTCAGATTCAGATGACTACTGCTCAGTTTTACATCTCAACAACAATGTCGTCTTCTAATACCAGGTCCCGTCTTAGAGAATGTCAGATTTCAAACATGAAGGCAGAAGTTCTCTGGGATTCCAGTCTTTTTATCCTTTTGCATGGGTTTCCCCTGTTTTTTGAGACATAATAATTCTGGTTTCTTCCCTCCAAAAATGTTTCAATTGTGCTTTAATTTCCAACTATATTGTATGTACTGTTTTATATTTTGAGTAGAAAACTAGATTTCTAGGTAGGGCAAGTATTTCTTCTTGACAGCCACTGTTTTTTTTCCCTGAAAAAAGTCCTTTACTGATCTTGTTTAAGTATGTCTAATCCCAAATAGGAGACAGTAATTCACTCCCTAAATTGTTTACAGCTGCTATGATTTTTTTTCTGTAATCTGTCCCCAAGCAAGCTTAAATTTCTCACAATCTCCTTGAAGGAGTGCAGAGAGTATGGAAAGAATATTCAAAAAACTTTCTGATAATTGTATTTTTTCCTGGGGTGGCTTACAAAAAAGTACTTCCTGGTGTGGTAAAATAATGGGCATCTTTTAATTGTATAAGGAAAATTAACATTTCAAATGCAGTTTATGGCATTTTCTTATCTGATTTGTTGCTTCCAAACTTCTCAGCAGTTAACAGAATT